CCTTATTATTGATTAACGCTGATACAATAATATTAAGTAGTTAAGTTATATTTAAGATTAGCATAGTAATAAACAAGTGTAGAGGAGTGTAATGTAAGGTAGTAGGTTAAGACTGATTATATAGGTGGCGGGTAAACGGAGATATACAGCGAATTCACTGTGGAATAAACGGATAGAGATTGCGTTACGTTTTTTGTGTTCTCACCGACTTTTATGAACATTACATAACATATTTTCTTTAACAGGTGTATTGTTCTCGTAAGCCTTGTTTTCGGTAAAAGAAGTCTACTGTCCTGTACACCACAGAGTACCTTTGTACAAACCGAAGTGCATGCTCTACACTCACCATATAAAACACAGAAACATTAAGCTGCTATCTACGCTGGTATTCTGTGAGAGCGTGGTCTTTCCGCGGTCGAGCCGACCCATTCGTACTTTACCTTAATAAAGTTCCAGCACGCCTGTATATGAAATACGATCAAAACAATAATTACCAGATAATACCTTTGACGCTTCCGCCTATCATCGATCTGAGCATTTTACGTCTGGTGTGAACGAGATTGTATACCGCCATCCGTCGGAAAGTAGGAAGCTTTAAGATTATTCAGACATTTTCCATGGTCGTCTCCAATGACACCCATGATGACGTAGACTAAATAGGTCGAATGGGACAAAATGGTTGGTTTTTTATCACGCCACTACAAGAGTAAGGCTTTAATTGTCATTAGATTTTATATGTCCCTTCATTTTTATCATCCAATTAAATACGTAGGTAATTTGCATGACGTAAATTATATTTCACAAAAAAAGAATATGCTAATATCTTTACCACAAAGATCATTCAAACTATGACACAAAATTCTATTCTTTATATAATTTTTATTCATGTTCTTTAAAACTTTACGTATTGTCATAAACGGGTGGAATTTTTTCCTTTAGACCCTAACTGCAAATTAAATAATTATAACTTTTAACAAAAGTAAAAACCGACTTCAAATTGCTCAAAAGGAAGTTATTTTAATGTTACCATTAGAGGTGGAATTTTTTCTCCAAATTTTTTTATAGGATACGGGTGACATACGAGTACACAGTCCAGTAAGTGGTTCCTGTGGCCCATAGACATCTACATGTATCCTTGATTAAGAATCGAAATGCAGATGTGTTTTTACACATGAGAACTAAGATAGAATACCTCGTTTCCAGTAAAAAGGGTCTGCAGTTCTTTACTCTCATCATACTAAAACAGCAGCATTAAGCTGCTATTTTACGCTGGTATCTTGTCAAAGCGTGGTCTTTCCCTGGTCGAGTCGACCCATTCATGCTACAACAATAATATAGCTGCAGCGTGGCTCTACCACGTATTAGATTTAGATGGAATGCTTTACAACTTGTTATTATACTGCTTCTCTATATCCTTGAGGCCGGTACACAGCGCGGTACTCCTGCTAGAATATAACCATTTAGACGATATTGACATTGTGATATTCCTTAGTCCACTGAGAAGGAAAAAAATAACTTGATATTTATCTTGAATACCGGCGCAAAATTCTCTAAGTATATTTCGAATTTCTGATTGTTTCTTTTTTTACGAAATTCAATCAATTAAGTAATTCATTGACACTTTTTACATTCCAGTCACGATCTTTGCAAACCAGGAAAATAAATGACATTCGGCAGATGTTCTATTGTTTTAAATGTTCAATCTAATATTTTCTTGTTTAAATCGGACACGATGTTTTATAAGAAGCATTTACAAAAACACCAAATATTTAAACATTATTGAACAGGATTATATTTAATACTAGCGATCCATATTATTACTTTAAGTAGATTATTATTTATCAAAAAGCTGATAATGAATTTAAAGACAAGGTGACTTTTAAATAGATAGTGATTTTATGTGTTTCGTGTTCTCTCAGAATCTTTAAGCTTTGATTTACACCCCTACTTTTATTTCTGTAATAATACAAAGTGAATATATTTATAGGCTGTGAAATTGAAATCCTTGACATCCTTTTAATGTAAGAATTTGGGTGACGTAAGAGGAGACAGAAGGAATATAAAAGGTTTAAGCTTGGAGATAGGCAACGATGTTTTCCTACTAACAACTTAAAAATACGAAACTAAGTTTGCCAACCTGCCTGCCAAGTGTGACAACTATAGCATATATTCATACATCCCCTATGAGACAATCTTAGGGGGAGGCCTGTGTCCTGCAATGGACTTGTGAATATGCGTAGTAGGTATTCTAAAAAAAATATTCTTACACCGCCACTACGCGATCCATTTTAATTCTAAACATTATGAATTAAATATTGACAATAAATAACATTAGTTCGACAGGATGCGCCAGTCTCACTTAAGTATGTCTGACAAAAAGTTTCACCAGTAAAACACGTTTATGTCTTGTACTTGAATATTAAACGGACTTATCTTCATTTATGGAGTTGAAATAAATTTGGGAAAAATTCGTTATCAAAGGTGTGGTTGTTGTAAACGTGGTAGAGCCATGCTGTAGCTGCACTATAGTTGCAGTACGAATATAAAAAGCAACATAAAAAGTCCAGATAACCGAAGATACTTCTTACTGATAATGGGGCATTAATAGCCCTCAGGGGTAACAACGCACCTATATTCTAGTTCCTAATCGATGACAGATGAAGGTATCTTGAGCCATAATATTTACGTACCATTAAATGGAATGTCTGCTTGTTTGTTACTCTTATTCTATTAAATATAATAAATTAAAAAATACTTAAACTTTTAGACGTACTAAAATTTCTTTTAATCATTCTCAGACTCAGAAATTAAAGGACTTAATACAAAATTCTTTAACATTATAAATATACAATACTTAAGTTGAACATATTCATTGATTCGAAATTTGAATTTATGATTGCGTAATGGCGAAAGGGTGGCGTAACTTCTCATGCCTACTTCCTGACGTAAAACTTCTAAAATACTCGTATTTTATAAACGTTCTCTATACTGTCATATGCACTTCCTAATTTAATATTTATGATCCTGAGTTTCATGCTTATTTCCCTACCATAATCCGTTATCGTAGAGAGAGACATGTATTTACGTGGTAGAGCCTAGCAAAAAACGCACGTGCAATTCCCTTGGTTTTACTGTTGTCCGTGGATGACGGTAGTCATTTACCATAAGGTGAGTCGCATGCTCGTTTGGCCCCTATCGTGGCAAACTATAATAGCTTCAACACAAATAGGTCAGCTCGACTGAGAAGGGCTTCTTACACAAAATACTAGCGTAAGATAGAAGTAAAAAAAAGAAAAAAAATATCTTAATTAAATTTAAAATTAATTAGGGGAGGGAATTAAAAACTAAGTTAAAATAGTTGATTAAATGCGATAAAATCCGTAAAAATAGTTTTATTCCATGTGCGGGACATTCAGAAAATAGCTGCGTATACAAGACCTCCTGACTCAACCGCAACCTGAAAAAAAAATAAGTTCTTTCTTTTAAACTGGAGGGATAAGTGAACTCTTTCTCCAGCTGATGGTTAGAGGCTACTGCAGTCGACGGACACCTGCAGCCAGCTTCAAGCTAAGAAGAGTACAGATGCGTCGTCACCTCTGAGGACTGAGATGGAATGGTTCACAGCGTGTAATTATACTGTCTATACCCTTCAGACACAGCAGTGCACGCACTTCTACTGGGCATAAATGGCTACCTTAGCAGGATGATTGTGTGTCTTGTACGTGGTATAGCCACACAACCAGAATATATCGGTTTGGTTCGACCGGGAAAGATCCACGCTCTATCAGAACACCATCGGTAAATATCAGCTTAGTGCTGCTGTGTTTCGTATGTAGAGAGTCAAGCAACGGAGATTCTTTGTACTGGAATCAAGGCTCCTCATTTTAGTCTTCAGGTGTAACAATGAAGCGGCATTTTGATGATAAATATAGGTGTCTATGGGCCACAGTACCCACTTACCATCAGGTGCACTATGTGCTCACTTGTCACCCTTATTCTGTCTTGTGCGACTTTATTTCGTATTCATTTGCGATTCCTCAATGTTACATGTATAAAATGATCTTGATGGGCAACTTACTTGTTATCTACTAAACAAATTAATGTTAATTAAGGTTTTTTTAAAAGAGAAGTGAAAAACCAAATTATATCAATGGATATCAACGGCCATCTTCAAACAAGAAAGACTACATATAGGGTTGCCAGATTGACGGGATTCGTCTGGATTCTGCCGACATATTAAATTATCTCCAGACTCCTGACAGCACTCAAAATCTCCAGACAAACAGCATATACAAGCTAAGTTAGTAATTAAATTCAATTTTTAGTAAAGTATTTGAATTTTAACACTTTAACAGCCGACCGTTATAAAGGTGGCCGTTCCTGGTACGCCGGTGATTTTTGCCGATATTCTATGACTCATAAAATAAAAACTATTTGTGATATGTATATTATTCTTCTTTTATATGTACTATTGTTCTTTATATTTTAAAGGAAGAAGTAAAAAACATTAAAAATAATGAAAAATATTTATGAAAAAAAATTAACAAAAGAGGTCTACAAGCGAAAAAAAAAAACTCCAACATAAACATTCTTACATACTTGAGCTAACTAAAGAACGTAATTTTTTTTGTGTGTGGAACATTTTGAAGCAGGGATAGTAGCACAAAGGAACATTGCAGTCTGGGCAGTAATAAATGGTCTCTTTGCGCCCCCTTTTTCCGGTTTCTTTTTTTGAAATGTCGGCACACACTTTGCAAACTCGTGCGACTTTCTCCTTTTTTTCCGAGCTTGGAATCCTCTCTATGAAGTGCCTACCGACGAGCCTCGTGCTTGTCCCGACAGCATGTGGACCATGGGAGGGTCCTGCTTCAGCATCTGATGCAGTTTCCACCAGTTGTTCCCCAGAGTCCATCAGAAACTGCGAGAATCGCAGGCGGCGTCGTTGTTCTCTGGATTTATTGTACAAAATGTAAGCGTTTACCAGAGAACGCGCTACTAAATTAAAAAAACATTTTTTTCCACCATTTCATACTTTTCCTATTCAACGAATAATAGGATACATATTGGTCATTGAGATCTACGCCAATTTTGTAGTGGTTATAGTCGAGGATGCAGTCTGGTTTCACCTTTTTGGTTACGCCCACACCTTTGGCTTTTGTATCCACCTCTGTCCAGCTAGCTCCGTGTTTCGTCGTGAGCATAAGTACATCACGCTTATCTTTCCATTTACAGGCAGTTAGATTGCCGCGGTGACAAAAAGCCATTTCAGCTTTTTCCAACGGTTGTTGTCGCCAAACCTGTGGCAGACCACGACGATTCGCCATCACTGTGCCTACAGTGCGAGTTTCTTTCAGCCAAAGCAAGTCCGCAATTGTCGGACTCGTAAAAAAACGATCCATATAAATGGTGTGCCATTTACCAAAATATGGTTCACTCAATTCAGCGATAATAGTCTCGACAGATTTTGAGTCGCCAACATAGGGAACCATGCGTAGTATGTAGCCCGTTTCCGCGTCACATAGCATGTAGACTTTCATACCGTATTTATCGGGCTTATCTTTATTGTAAACTCTGAAGTGCACTCGACCCCTAAATCCACAAGTGCCCTCATCAATCGTCAAGTTTTCATTGGGATAAAAACTGTTCTCACACAAAAAAACACAGTTCATCGAAATACGGTCTGAGTTTGAAAAAAGCATCGTATTCTGGATCATTACGTGGTTTATAATTTGAGTTGTCGTTCAAATGAAGACAGCTGTAAATAGCTCTGAATCGGTTCCTATTCATGTGCTTTCTGGCGAATGAAGTTTCTATTATTTCACGAGTTGACCAGTAAGAATCAAAACTTTCTTTTTGAACGAGTGTCATATGAATCACTACGGAAAAAAATGTTTTCAGTTCCTGTTTCGTGACTGGTTTCCATTGATAAAGCATAGTGCCAGGTTTCAGGATACCTTGTCGCGTTTGTTTAGCCTTCATTTGAGCTGCATAACGATTTGTTTCAGTCTTGAGCAATTTCCAAAAAGAATCAGGAAAAAAAATTGAGAAACAATCGAACAGTGACGAATTTTCATCAATCGGGGCTAATACGCGAGATATTTCTTGAAATACTGGATTTTCCGGCGGCTGCTGCACTGCTTCGTATGACCATCCATTAGCTTCATCCATTTCCCTGATAGAAGTTGATGCATGTCTGCCGCTGCTGCAGCGGGTAGTCGAGCGCGCCCCTGACCGAACGCGTCCGCCGCGCGATCTCGTTCTGCCTCGAAGTGTAGGTCTCGAGCGACCTCGACTTCGACCCTGTTCTGGTTCAGATACGTTCTCTGACATGTCAGCATCATCATTTTCATGATCTTGGACCGAAACCACCTCATGTAAGTCTTGAATTACCTCTGGAGAGAGAAAACACCAATAAAAATCTAGACTTCGCAAAAAAGGTATATTCGAATAAAAATACAATAATAAAATACAATAATTTACCTTCAATTTGAATTTCCGGGTCTTCCTCAATGTCTGAGTCAACATCATTTACCAAAACATCAAAAATTTCTTTAGAATCGAGACGCCAACTACGTCGAGCGGAAGCCATTTCGCGCCAAAATGCAAGGACGTGCTCTCACGTTGGTGGCGTGGGAGCACTGGCGACGCGCGCTGAAAGATTGCTTGTCCTGCCTCCACCCCGCACCTCCCGTCGGTGATACATACATGTGGGTGTAGCTAAAGAGTCATTCTACACCGGGGTTATACGCCAATCACGCACCGGGAACGTAATTTTTAAACAGACGATAGGAAAGTCAAACCCGTACGGAGTACGTGATCGGCGTCCCGAGTTGATCGACACTGCCCGTACTCAGTACGTGTACGGCTATTAAAGTGTTAATTATTTTCTGAATACTACTAAATAATCCAAACTGTTGGACTCTAGTAAAGTCCAATGACAAATACTTGTGGCAATTATATTTTAATATTAATTATGTTTAAAAAAAGTTAATTATGTTTTAATATTTCTTGGCGCAAACTGATTTGAGCTACGACAGCTGCTATTTTAAGTGCTGATTTCGTGCACGACAGTAAAAAAGAACATCGTGAGGATACCTACACGTATCTGAAAAATAAGAAAAAATATTTCGAAGACATATGAAGTACACACAGCGTTGCGTACATTTTCTTGCCGTAAAAGCCTCTCATTTCTGAGTGTTAAGTTATTTTAGTAGCAACTTAGTTGATACAAGTCCATACAGCTAAACAACAGAAGGGACAACGTTGATGTTAAAGGACCTCTATTATCTTCTATAAAATCTAAATATAATTTATTTGACTACTTCATGACCAATTATCTAAATAATTATTTTTATTTAATAAAGATAAAGAGACATAACATTAACCTGAACCTGTTTTGAGACATTTTGATGACTCAAGGTGTCGCTGAGATGTGCACGCGACCATGTTGCTTGGGATAAAACCGGGATTTACAGATCGCTGCGTCAATATATTATATATTTTTATTGAATAAGGATTGAAAACGAGCCCATAGTGTACACTATAGTAAGCGGAATGTAGATGCGTAGCACACGCAAAAATGTAGTACATATTAACAAGAAAATAATAAATTCTATAATACAAAATTGATGTCAATTAAATAAAAATTAATATGTTAAAAGAACACTATTTTAAATTTATTAGCAGTGTCGGTAACATAAAATAATAATTTAAATTAAAAAATCGTATCGTATAATTGTAAAAAAATAATAGAAATAATAGTAATAAGTAATATAGTTTATATTAATTAACAGACATTAAAAACAAACATTTATTTGAAATACCGTTCAAGAAAAATTATTGATGCGATGAAATAAAGATGCATGCCGTGGCAACATTTAATTAAGACGACACCTAGATATAAGCCTTCCTGTAATTTGTAGTATTTACATTGTGTTCGTGTACGTCTTGTTGGTTGTCCTAAATAAATAAATTAAAAAAAAGATTTCAAAAGACAAACACAATCTCCCGCCGCACTGATTTCAATCTATTGTTTCAGATGTGCATACAGAGATATATTAGAAAGCTACTTGTAACTAATGATTTGTTATATTTAAATCAATTATTGGGAAGCTGTTCTAGAGTTTTTAAAACCAATTGTGATTTGACAAATGTTATACTGCTTAATTTAAATATATATATATATATATATATATATATATATATATATATATATATATATATATATATATATATATATATATATATATATATATATATATATATATATATACTCGAACACGAAACAACTAGTAATAAAGGTTATATACACAAGCTATATGCTATATGATAAGCCAACACCGGAGGATAGACCTGCCCCAGACTAATCGGGGAAAAAAAGAAAAAAAATATATCCCAATTATATTTTAAATTATATAAAAAAAATGAAATTCTTTAGAAATTGAGACCGTTTATGATATTTTTCACTACCATGACCACAATTTTTTTAATTTTTTTCTTTTTTTATATGTAACCTGAATAGTACTGCTATCTACCACAATTCTTAAAAACTCCAGAATAACTCTTGTTTTATCACGAAAATTTATGAAACTTATTTTATTCCCTAAATTTTTTGAAGACTTTTACTTTTAAACAACTTTAACTTATCGTGGTGTAAAAAAAAAGTATGAACACTAGTATGGCAAGTTTTTTTAAAAATTGACGCAACTAACCAACATTCCAAAATGATATAATACTGTAGGAAACAAGTTATAAAAAAATATGGGCCTATTATTTCTTAACAGGGGCCAAATGACGGTCGGGTGTAATACAAGTACTAGTTCTTGTAAAATGTTTAATATTTCAAAACAAATGGTACAAACAGTTTCACGTGTAATTTATTAAGTTATTAACATTATAGCAAATGTTCAAACTGTTTGCCACCAGCATTAATACATGCACGACATCGCCTTAAAAATTATCGTTTTATTTGTCTTGCATATCTTCTGCTATTAATGTAATCAGCAGCCTGAGTGATATTTCGACGAAGCTCATCCAATGTCGCAATGGGTTTCGAGTAGACGCTGTTTGTAAGACAACCCCAAATAGAAGAAGTCCAGGGGGTTTTCTCCTTGAGTTTTTCCGTCAAAAAAATTATCAGTAGCTGCCCGGAGTCGGGATGTTGGTAGCGTCTCACTCCCGTGCCTCGGAGAGCACGTAAAGCCGTTGGTCCTGCGCCTACCTCCGTTCGTGTAACTTTACCATCCCATCGGATTATGGGAGTGAAGTAATAGAGAGTGCACCTGTGCTTGCGCATACACTTTGGCAATATAAGCGTGTCTTGCGCCGATGGCTAGTCTATGTTGAGGCTGGCCGCCGTGACCGAAATTCGGACATTATTACATGGGTTGACTGATAGAGAATGCAATTGTTGCCGTGTTGCCTAAGTCGATGATTTCTCTGTGTTAACAAACAATGATATTGAATGTAATAGTTTAAAAAAGTTATTGTCCTCAAAGTTAAAATTAAAAGATTTAGGACAAGTTAAATATTGTTTAAGCAAGACTGTAAATATTGATAAAATAAGTGGTACTGTTACATTGAGCCAAGGTAATTATATTAATCAGTTATTGAAGAGATTCAACATGACAAATTGTAAGCTTGCTGATACACCCAATTTTAAGGTCTAAATTGGACATTAATTTAGAAAATAAAAATTGTGATAGTCAAATACCTTATCACAAACTAATAGGTGGGCTCATTTATTTGGCAGTATTAACCAGACCTGATATAGCATATTCAGTAAGTTTCTTAAGTTTCGTTTTTAGTCAATTTAACAATTGTTATGATAATGTAACTTGGGCTTATGCAAAAAGAATTATAAAATATTTAAAAAAGACTACATATTATGGGTTAAAATATACTAGATATGGTAATGATAAATTAGAAGGGTATGTTGATGCAGATTGGGAAAATAATATTATTGACAGGAGTTCTTACACAGGTATGTGTTTCAAATCAGCTGGTAGTATAGTGTCATGGGAGGCTATAAAACAGAAAACGGCTGCTCTCTCAAGCACCAAATCTGAATACATGGGCATAGCAGATGCTTGCAAGGAAGCAATTTATTTGCACAACTTGTCAAAGGAAATTATTAATGAATCGTATAAAATAACTATAATGATAACCAGGGTGCACTTAGGCTGCCTTCAAGTAGTAGTTTTAACAAAAGAACCAAACATATTGATATTCACTACCATTTTTGTAAAGACTGTACCGCTGATAAAATTATCGAACTAAGATATTTGGAAACAGCTGAAATGCCAGCAGACCTGTTCACTAAAGGTTCGGGTAATACCAAGCATTATTATTTTTTGCAGCTATTAGGAATAGAGGATGTAAAAACAATATAATTATTTTGTTTTATTTAGATGGGGTACAATATTGTGGGCATCTATGTTATTTTGATATTTTTTTATAGGATAGGGTGACAAACTAGCACACAGTCCACCTGATGGTAAGTGGTTGCTGCGGCAGTGACGTCTACATCTGTCCTCGATTACAAATCAAAATTCAGATGCGTTGTCACCCATGAGGACTAAGATGGAATGCCTCGTTTCCAGTAAAAAGGATCTCTGGTTCTCCACACTCACCATACAAAACACAGCAGCATTAAGCTACTATTTCATGCTGGTATTCTGTGAGAGCGTGGTCCTTTCCCAGTCGAGCCGAGCCATTCGTGATACAACTACACTACTAATATAGCTGCAGCGTGGCTCTACCATAATTATAATAAGTGGGGGTGTTACTATTATATCAAAATACCAGTAACGCCATCTATTGTGTTATAATGAACTGTTGTATGATTGTATGACAATTATGTTCTTGAATAAATTCATTCACTTGCTCTCCGTCTGTCCGTCCGTCCGTCCACAGAAAGAACGTTGTTTTAATTTATAGGAATAATGTACTTTTTAATGTTTAATAATAAGTTATCATCTATATCATTATTGTGTTATACCTGAATGCAAAAATGTGAGCAAAAGAACGCCGGGAAAGTTATGGATTAAAGTGTCAACTGATTTAAATATGAGAAATAAACGTTATCATCACCATCATCACAGCCCTTCATAAGTCCGCCGCTGAAAATCGGCCTCTTCCAAGGCATGCCACAATGCACGGTCCTGAGCACGTGCATCCATCGACTTCCTGCACGTCTTGCCATTATAAATGTTACATTAAGTCTCAATATTTACTTACTTACTTTAATGATTTATAAATGTAGCATTAAAATGCACATTAAGGTATATCTTATTATCTATGTATATTTAGTAATATGATCTGTATCTAAGAAAATACTTTTAAATATTTTTTTTTAATTCCTAAGTAGTCTCATGTTTGTCTGGGATTTATAGGACCCATATTTACATGTGGCATGTAAAAAAAAGAATGCGCCAACTGTATTTCTTGCCTAGAATGGCGTAAAAAGCGACTAATGGGGTATTGGGTTAGTAACTGAGTAAACATTGAGCTAGCCGCTTATAATTTCTTTTAAAATGTTCTATCTTCAGCTTCACGTGGTAGGTTTTATATGTTGTAGAGCCTAGCTGC